GGATGATGATGGGGACAGGGATGATGATGGGGACAGGGATGATGATGAGGACATAGATGATGATGGGGACAGGGATGATGATGGGGACAGGGATAGTGACAGAGCCATACATCAGGACAACAGCCAGGAGAGCATTCCAGAGGCATGAGGACAGGGATGGGGAGCGGGCTGGGGACCCGCCCTGCCCTCACCTCGTCCTGCAGGTTGATCTCGGTGGCTCCCTTGTTGAGCTGCTCCTGCAGGCTGGACACCACCGCGTTGTTCCCGGGCACGCGGTAGATCCCCATGTACTCCAGCCCCCGGTCCTCCACCACCTTGCAGCAGGCCTCCACGATCAGGGGCACGTTCTGCGGGGACAGGGAGGGGGTCACGGGGTGCCAGGGGGGCGCAGGGACCCCGAGGGTTGGCGGTGCCAGCCTGGCTGTACCTTGTTGTCCGGGGCAGGCTGGCACTCCTCCAGCCTCACGCCGAAGGCGCGCGGGGCAGACTTCTTGTTCTTCTTCATGATGTTGATGCCCCACGGGGCTTTCTGGGAGCTGCTCTCATCTGGGGAGGAAAACCCACCGGGTCACTCGCTGATGAGCCGGGATGAGCGGGAAGAGCATCCCTGCTGCCCCACAGGGATGGCAGTGCCAGGGGGAGACCCCCCTTCCTCCTCATGAAGCCTCCTGACATCACACACCTTTTGTGACGGCCGCATCCTGCCGGGGGGACCGGGGCGCGCTGGTTCCCGTCTGCTTCAGGAACTCTGCTCGGATCCCCAGCCCACGAGGGCCCTTGGGTGAGGAGGAGTCGGGCTTGGTGCCCGCGGGGCTGCGGGGAGAGCGGGGGGGCTCAGGTGGGGCAGGGCCGGGGGGCACCAGCCCGGCGCAAAAACCTCCCGGTAAAACGCCGGCATCGCTCCCGGGCTTCCTGGCATCCTACGGAGACCCCTGGGGAGCACCGAGCTGCTTCAACCCTGCTTAAATTTGCCAGGTGCCACCTCGGCCGAGCGGGACCCTGCGGCGCCCGGAGCCAAGCCGGGCGCGGGCGGCACTTCCATCACTGCCCCAATCCTGGGAGCCGCTGGATTTGCTCCGTCACTGCCAAACTGAGGTGACCAAAGCCCCGGGGGTCTCGGAGCCCACCGCCCCGGTCCGTACCTCACTTTCCGGTAGTCGTTTAACTTCTTGTTGATAAGTGCTTGGCTGGCAAAACCGGGGTCCTGGGGAGGCAGAGAGAAGAGGGGAAGGGAGAGCTTGAGCTGCGCGTCCGCCGGAGACCCCGGGCAAGTCCACGCTCTGCCAGGCACCACGTGGGGCCAGGCAGGAGCAGGCAAGGGCAGCACTCGGGTCCCTGCTGCCCCAGAACGGCCAGGCAGGAGCAGGAAGGGCAGCACCAGATCCCCGCTGCCGTGGAACAGCCGGTGCCCACCAGTGCTCGCCACCCCACTGCAGCGTCCGTCGCTCTGTGCCACGTGTCCAAACAAGACACGGAGGCCTGGGGACACGCCTGTCCCCCCACGGCACACAAACACCTTCACCGACCCGCGCCAGGCACACCCGCTGCTCCCACGCAGCATCCACAGCCCCGGA